AAATTCTATAAATTTGTAATGTTATATTTATATGTTCAATGCAAAAATCAACTTTGAAAAATATCGCTCATACTTCGAAAGCTAGTCTCGCCAATGTCCAGAAAAATCCCGGTCGATGCTTGCGAACTTGTCTGGCGACTCTTTTCGCTTCTTCAGACATACTTGATTCCGCGATGATCCTGTCTTTCTCTTCGATGGTATTCTTCAACTCGATGTCATTTTCGTTGGAATCTTCGGATAACATTTTATTTAATATATTCAACTTTCTCGTTATTTCCTCATCCTTCCATCGAGCCTCTTTGTCACGCTGATCCAACTGCGAAATTTGAATGTCGCTCTTTTCGCGCTGAGGTCTCGTATAATCGTTATATAATTCTTTGCTTTTGTAACTCGGTATGTTGGATCGATGCTGCCGCTCTTCATCGGGAATCTCGTCGGAATGTGTCGATCGAAATTGATAACGCATCGGTTTGTTGACTTCGTAGGAAGTCCATTCTGATTTTTCAGTTCCGCTGCAAAGCGTACTGATGAAGCAGAGGAGCAGCAAATTGGTTGCAAAGGAATTGATTGATAACACGTACATCTGTAAGAAAAAGGTATACACGTGAGATTAATGATATGTGTTGAAGATAATTAACGATCGATAAATTTTTAAGGTAAAAGATCGGGATACGAGAGCTCATGGTTGGGGAAATACAGAGAAACAGGAAAATCTAGGAATTTTGAAGAGTTATTATATTTGGTACCTACAGAAGCTTTGTCTGTGAAATAAAACAGAAAACAAAGTTATTTAATTTCGAAGGAGTAATAATTTTCATTAATAAAATAAAATAAGTAACATCGGCTCGATATCTTTTCAGATATCCAACGAGTACTTTTTATTTTCCCAATATCTATACTTTCCATGAGAGAAGACTTGGTTTGCAAATTTACAAATCTTTTACCAATCTAATCAATATTGTTAAGCGTGACTCTATACTGTGGCATACGATGTGTTTCATACATCGATGCGGCATAGCGAGAAGTAAGATTGCGTGTATTACGTAAACGGTGTTATAACAGAAGCGCAGATCGCTATAAAACTACATTTCATGAGAGAGCTCGCAGAAACATCATGCAGTGAGAGTCAGACGATGACCGTGGTGCACGAAAAAGAATCAGTAGTCATTACGTAAGTACAACGATCTTCGTTTAGTGAAATGAGGAAAGTTCGTCGAAGGAACAAAACCACAACGACGGAATTGCCGGCTACGTAGTTCCGGAAATAATATTCTCTTGTGGCTGTTCTAATTGATCTCTTCCTAATCAATTGCGCGCTGCGTAATGGAAATTATTTTCCAAAAATACTCTTATACATATATGTTAAGGATATCCATAAATAATGAAGTATTTCAAAGTTAAACATACTTAAAATCTATAAATTAAACTTTTCTTTTTTTTATTTAAAGATAGAATCTTTTTTTTAAATCATTGATATAATAAGTCGAATCCTATCCTAATAGCACACTAAAAAAAACTGCTAATCAAGGATTGAATAAAATTGTTAACTTTATGAACGAAAATTATTTGTGGATTTTTAACTCTTACATCATTTCCTCTCTATTCTGAGTTAATTTTTGTGTATAATAGTAATTTTATATTTGTTTTAAAAAAATTCTGTAGAAAAATATATTTTCCAAAGTTCATTTGAAGCTAAATTATAAAAATTGGAATAATTAAATAATATTATTCAGGAAATTAAAAGCAGGGTATATATGAAAAAAATCAGGTTATAATTTTTTATACCTTGGATGCATTTAATGAACAGTATATAAGAAGAAATTTGAAGAAAACATAAATAAACAACAATTATTATATATAAGTGGTGAACGGTCCTAGATTATATTAAAAAATGATTTGTCGATCGATATCAAATTAATCAGATTAATGTGACACATTTTCACATTTCATTGTGACGTCTATGAACGGTGACTTATTTTTGTCATTTTTACGTTATTATTACATGATTATAGAAGGATAATTGACGTAACGACTGACCAAAAATTAAGGTGAAAATCACATCACGTTATTACCTATAAATAATATATTTAAACGGTTTCGTCGCAGGCATAAAACTATATGCAATATTAACAGCAAACCTGCTTGATCATCCAGAAAATTTTTTCTTTTTCAAAGCAGAGTAAAAGTTTCTGTTTATCTACAACTTTCTTCTATTTTAAAAGAAAATAGAAGTTATTTAAAATTTCATGAATAAAAGTTTTAGTAAATAGATTTCATTTTATGACTGTTTTCTTAAAATAAAAAAATATGAGTACAAAATTATTATTATTCAAATGACATAATCAAACATTTTAATAGTTTTGTTCAATCCCTCCTGTTAATATATTATACCTTTCAAGTAGATAAGAATAACAGTCTTGAAAACACTTGACTGTTTATAAATATCCCTAACAATCATTTTTTACGCACTAAAGAAGAATATTAAAAAATTTATTTGTAGGTTACGATGCTTATTTCTGTGGAATAAAGTTTATTCCCGCGAATAAACTCTATATTCCCCTCACCACAAATAAATTTTTAATTCTTCCTTTCTCAGCATATTTCATATTTATTGTAAATTATTCAGTAGAACAACTTGTAGATACTGCTCGAAAAATAGTAGATGATCTACTATTGATTACTGATGTGATTCAAGTTTTCACTGAGAATACACCGTATTCTCGAGTCCGAGACTATTGAGCTCATTGACTTACATTGGCGGCGACGACTTTTAAACCCAGACACGCGCGCGCATGCGAAAGTGTTTCTTCTCTTCTAGCCCGCGCATATCGCTTCGCACATTACTCAACCACCCAACTTACTCTCGAGCGTTTTTCGACACATGTGCGAACACAAACACGTATACACTCGCTCATATGTATACATACACACACGCACACGATTTTATTTCTTCGGTATCCCTCGGAAGAGAACGAGACGATATCGCTTCACAAATGTTTCGCACTTGAGAATGTCGTAAGACTCTCGAGAATCGCCTCCGCGTCTGCGTATCATCCACAGTTCGCTGTAATGAAACTGCGATCACCTCTATCGCGCGTTCACGGACGATCGTTTGGCAAATTGCTTCCCTTTGACCCGATATGCCAATTTTATTACTGATATACTGATGCCGGCGAGCCGGCAGCCGGTGGTTCTCGCCGTTGACCGAGCATGACTACCAAGCAAAGCCGGTGATTCGTTGCTACTGGAGTCCATTGGAGATTTCGTCGATCCATTTCAGCATTCTCGTCGTACGTGATACGAACACGTAACACGTGCACCGAATTAATGCTCGATCTTATTGTGCGTGTCGCGATGCGATAAAGCCTGACGAATGTCTGGTGTTGCAACTCGTACAAAATTCGGACCACCTGCATCGGCCCGCTTCGTGGCCGATAGTGAAAGCTTGCGAAATCCACGAAGTACTCGCGAAGTGCTACAGTCTCGGATTTGAGTATATCAGAAAAAAATCACTGGATAGTCGTTTACGTGTGCGATTGTGTAATATATAATATATTCCAGATCGAGTTGAGAAGACAATTGATCACAATCGTCAGGAACACAATTGATGATGAAAAATAATTTAAAATTACTTATATTGCAATGCAGTTCTTGAAAACAAAAGCGATCTTGCTCAAGTGTTTTACAGACTGTGTGTGTGCGTGTGTGTGTTGTGTGAAGATATCCATTATATTTTTATCAGTCACAATGATCGGAAAATTTCTAGACGTGATTAATTAGTTTTTAGATGATAATAAAAAAATTCTGAAAATGTTCTTTTCTCGTAAAATAAAAATCAAGATCACTTTAATTTTTTTTAGATAAAACTATATCTTTTTTCATCCGTAGCGTTGTAAAGTGAATCAAAACAAACTCAATAACATTATTAGTATTTTTGAGATATTTTTATGAGAAAGTTTAAAAAAATTGTTGTTCTCCCATGTATGATGAACGGCATTTCATTAAAAACTGATTAATTATATCTAGAATTGTTTCTTACCCGATTACTGTAACTGTTAAAATAATAGTGAGATACGTTACGAGATGAACACCTTATATATGAATAAAATTTATATATAATCTCATATAATTATATGAATAATGCGATATATATAAATTATATATAACATTTATACATTATTTATACATATATATGCATGTATTCATTATATACATAATATCATATATATGATGTATATAAATTATATATAATTATATGACACACATACATATGTGAACTTTGTCTTTATATTCACAATCATATATAATTGTATATGTCCACATGGAAAAAATTATTGTTGAATAGAAAGAAGGAAAAGTGATCTCATGCAATTAAATGTCAACATTAAAAGTTGTCCCAAACATAACTTCATTTATGTTTGTACAACATTTTTTTTCGCTGTGAATATTGAGCAATTACATATGATTAATATATAGAAAAAAAATTTATATATAATTATATATGGTAATTTTTTTCTCGAATTATCACATAATACTGAATAATTTACAGTTGTTAGACAGTGTCACGGCACTTTTACAGAATTTTTATGCCGGTGTACCGAACAGCACACGCCATAACAGCACACCTGAGCTCGTAATGAGCAAACGAGACTTTCTACGAGACTTCCGCAAAGTACATCGCGCGAGAATTTTTGTCGATTGCGAAAAAATACAGACGTCCGATTCGCGATAATAATGCGCTCACTTTCCTCCACGCGAATGCTCAATGCGTATTCTCGTCCGGCAGAAAGCGTTTTCGCGGTAAACGATTATTGGGCTTTGCCGTCCTGCCTGGCGATCGGCAGTCGCGATACTTAACCGTCCTTGTCTTCGAAAACCAGCCAGGGTCCACGTGGACTACGATACATAACAACTTCCATCTTTCACTTTCACTCTGCGTAATCATACACGTAATCGGGATCGGTTCCATTATACGCGTACCGGCTGTGATAGCGATTATGCTTTTCCGCAAACGGACGTCGCTCCTACAATAAGTTATTTCGTGTCTATCATCGAAAGTTCCGGGTAAATAAATTTGATTTTCCGCTTTCGAATTTATATAATGTTAAATATTTTTACAATCAATAAAAGAAGAAGTTTGCCCTTCGACATTTCGATCCCATTTTTCTCGTTTTGCTTTTACAACAAATAATTATGTATCTATTATAGAAAACTTTCAATAAACAATTTTAATTTTTGGCATTTGGATTTTCAATACTAAAAATATTTTTGCAATTAAGAGAAAAAGAAATTTATCCTTCGACATTTCGATTTCTTTCTTCGTTTTGTTTTTGTAATAAATTGCTTCATGTCTATTATTAAAAAATTTCAATAAATAAATTTAACTTTTTGCGTTTGAATTTTTAATGCTAAATAGTTTTATAATCGATAGATAAGGAAGTTTGTTCTTTGACATTTCGGTTCTATTTATTTTTGTTGATATTTATATTTTATATCTATTTATTTATTTTGTTTCTGTAATAAATTATTCCGTGTGTATTATTGAAAACTTCCGATAAATAAATTTAATTTTTGCATTTACATTTTTAAAGTTAAATATTTTTACAGTCAGTAGAAAAAGAAATTTGCCCTTCGACATTTCGATCCCATTTTTCTTCTTTTGTTTCTACAATAAATAATTCCGTGTTATCAAAAACTTTTGATAAATAAATTTAATTTTTCGCGTTTAAGTTTTCAATGTAAAATATATTTACAATAAATAGATAGAGAAATTTGCTTTTTGACATTTCGATTTCATTTTTCTCCTGCAAAAAATTATTTTATATTTATTATTGAAAACTTTTGATAAATAAATTTAATTTTTTATGTTTGAATTTACAATGTTAAATTTTTTTATTATCGATAGAAAAGAAATTTATCCTTCGACATTCTAGTCTCATTTTTCTGATTTGGTCTTTGCAATAAATTATTCCACGTCTATTGTCGGAAACTCTCAGATTAATAAATTTAATTTTTCACACTTAAATTTGCAATGTTAATTTTTTTTATCGATAGATATGGAAGTTTGCTTTCGACATTTTAATCCTTTTTTTGCCTTATTTTCTTTTTTGGTGAAAATAAAAATTGATTCGAAAATAACACATTAACAATAAATGGCAATTTACCATACTATTATGACAGCATTACATCAATTCGTAGGAAATTGGACCAATTTGGTCAATGCATGACACGCTCCAATTAGTTTCACGCTAATTATTTCACTGTGAAAGGCATGCGTAAAACAAGCGCTTGCGTTCGTTCGAAATGTTTCGCGGCCCGCGGGCCGTTTCTCTATTGCGAAAATTTGAACTTTTATATGCGAAATAATAGGCGGCAGTAGTGGACTCACGCGTGAAATGTTTTCATATAACATAGCAATGGAGTATTGCAAGAGTAGTAAATGCCAGACGTCAATAGTATTTGGCATTCGGTGAAATCACGACGGACAGTCGTGTCCGTTGAACGTGAATGTTATACTTTCGGTTGCACCATAAATCCCCGCGAAAAGAAGTTCAGCAAGTTTGAAAAAATAGAACTGGGGTTCCATGTGACTGGATACGTGTCGTGCACGATATATTTTTCTGTGTACATTTGCCTTGCATAAAACACAAATTTCTGTGCACGTCTCGCTACTTATTTGCTGGTTTTATATCTGGTGCAATTTTTAACCAGTTGCACAACAAAATATGACAAAGTTAGATTTATGTAACCGCGCATGTCGGTAATTTACTTTGATTTATTTTTCTCTTTATTTACTTTTACAATTCATTCTTCTTCTTTTAAAAAAATAATTTTTTAAATTATTACCTAAATTATTACTTTATTATTTTTAAATTGTTATTTTTAATTATTTCTTTAAATTATTAGTTTTTTTGCATCTCTAATATTGCTTCAGGCTAAGAAGACCTAAAAATGGATACAAATACTGCATCCAACCAAATAACAATGAACTCGGACGATAAATTAGCGACTAATTATAATCGTTGCGACTACGTGCGAACAAAAAGTGCGAGATTGTGCGATGTACTTCAATATATTGTGTCTTTTATAAATAGTGTTCGTTAATTCTGGCTATATGTTGACCTTTCTGCAAAATCTTGGCTTTGACCGCTCACAAGTTCATAGGTGATGATTTAAAAGCGTATAATATTAATGGAGATTTAATAGACAAATAGAACAATGATTAGTCTTACAGAAAAAGGAACAGTCTTGTTTTTTAAATATTCTTATTTTTAGCATATAAGTCTTAAAATAAAATCAGACAGCTGAGTTACTTGCATCGATATATTTTATATGTTCTACTTTGTTTTTATTTGTATGGTTCAACACAGAGAAATATATTATCCAAAAATAATTTTCGTCAATAGCAAGCACGAAGTATTGGATTGAGAATATGATATTTTTAAATGTAGGAAGAAAATATCATTGTCGTTCAAATAATCATATCGTACTTCTTATGAAACTATTATACTATTTAAATAAAATTATAGCATTGTATGGACATTTAAGACTTGAAAATTCTTCTAAAAAACAAAATGATATATCGTTTCTTATACATAGAGACAATGATTGTTAATTTGATTATGTTATTTTAATGTATACAACAATTGTTTAATATATGATATTGCGCTTATTCTCATTTGTTTATTATAATTTTATTTATTGATTAAATATAGAGATTTTGTTCTTTCACATTTTTATTTGATTATGTTATAAGTGAATATTAATTTTTTCTGTGCACGCTTCATATAGCATGATATAGGATGATGAATACGGTAATGTTTGAGAAACAGAATCTCGAAATTACAATTCGTTTCTGAGGCTTGGAAAGAAAGATTCGAGCAAATTGTTAACAATCAAACTGTTATTTTTCCACGAATATTATTACGCTGCAATAACCAGTTTCGAAATAGATCTTTGTGCAAATGAAAAAGTTTTAAAACAAATCTAACAGGCAAATTAGTTTTAGAAGCCATCAACTTTGGCTTACCAAAGTCGCTGAGAATTTTACAGTTTTAAACTTACGTTCTGAATGAACTTCCCGGAGATGCGAGCTCGTCGATGGTTAGTTAACTGAACGCTCACGTTTCCTGAATCCAGTTTACTCGCAAGGAAATATGAAATGCAAAGAAAATGGCATGACATGCATAATCTGTCCGACACGCAAACATGATAACTACTTATATATCACGTGGTGCAGTTACATTAGGTCATCAATTTTACTTCGTTTTCTACTCCCTTTAAACTAATCTTTATTATTTGACGTCTTGATTATTTAACATATGAAATAAAATAATTTATCCGTTTCGAAACGAATATAAATAAGCGGGGAGACGAAGAAAAAATATCCATAATCTAGGTAGCCTTGAATGCAAGTGAATGAATTTGATTCTGAGCACGTACTTGCGGTGATGGAAATGACGAAATTACGCAGAAATTTACTCAGGAAAATATTTCTCATTTCTCGAGTTTCATAAAAATTATACGATAATTTCGTAATATAGAGCTTATCGCGAGGCGTGAAGTACCGGATTTTAAATTCAATTAGCTGAGACTTTTTAAAAATTTTTCATTTCTGTTTTTGATAATTATTGTTTCAATATATTAACATTATTTTTCTAAAAAATCTAAATCTATCTTTGAGTAAAATTAATTTTGGAAATAACATGGTAATATACGTTTATTACAAGGCGTGAAGTATCGGATTGAATTTCTTAACAGTTGTTAATGATATCTGCTTTTTTTGATAAATGCAGTTCCAATATTTTGATACTTTTTTTTTAAATCTGTTTTTGTTGTATGTGAGCAAAATTAATATTTGAAATAATTTCATAATCTACAGTTTGCGAGATGTGGAACATCGAATTTTAAATCTAGTTGTTTTGCAGTTTTTAATGATTTTTTCTTGATTTTTGAATGAATTTTTGATAAAAAATAATATAAATTTAAAAATGAACTGTTTTAATACATATCTTAATATTCTTTTCTAAATTTATCTTTGAGCAAAGTTAATTCTCGAGATATTTTCATAAATTTATAGTTTCTCGCAAGGCGTGAAGTATTGAATTTTACATTCAATTACTTAGTAGTTTTTAATAAATCTCTTGTTTTTAAAGAATTATGTTTCAGTATTTTGATATTTTTCTCTAAAATCTATTTCTGAGCAGAATTAATTTTTATAAAATAAGTTCGCAATTTAGAATTTTTAATGATTTTCTTTCTATTACTGATAAATACTGTTTTACAACATCTTAGTATTCTTTACTAAATCTATTTCTGAGCAAAGAGTTAATTTTTTAAATAAGTTCGTAGTCTCTCTCTTTATCGCGAGACCAAAATATACCAAACAGTATTCTAGTTTTTTCTAGGCAAAATTATTTACTTTCCATTTTTACTTGCTAGTTTCTGGCCAAAAAACTAGCTAAAGAAACTGGACAATATTTTTAAAATTTCTTAGGCAGAAACTGCCAATCATTTATTTACTAATTTTAATTAATAAGTTGCTAGCCAGTAAATATCCAAGAAATAATGGCCAAAAAATAGAAACTGCCCAGCATATGCAATTTTCACTTGCTAGTTTCTGGTCAGTAACTAGCCAAGAAACACTGGCTAGAATTTTCGGACTTTATGCTGAATAGAAACTGTTTAGTATTTACTTACTAATTTTTCTAACCTAATTTTTAGCTAGTAATTGGCCATGAAACACTAGCCAATATTTTTCTGGCCAATTTCTTAACAGTTGCTGTTTAATAAATTCTAGTCAGTAAAAAGTAGTCGGTTTCTGGCTAATGACCAGTTTTTCCTGGGAATTTTGTTAGGGAACTCTCTTACCTGCACGTTAAACAAAAACAATTAACAAAGATCGTTTTACTTTTTTCCACGTTGTTATTCCACATGCACACACATACACACAGGCATATGACATACGCACGCACCGGGACACGTCCGTGTGTACACGTCGCGTTTTCGTCGATTCACACGGACTAGCGTAGCGTATGAAGTTACGGGGACAAGTGCATCTTGCTGGACGGCGGAATCGACACTAACGAGATGAGTTCTCTCTCCCACTTGCCGATACTTCGAATCGGTCGCGAAGGTCGTCAGCATTTTTACGAAAGATCTTACGTGTTCTTCGCGGTGTAAACGGAACAAATCGACGAAATTTGGCGGCTCGCCTCGCTAGTGACCGAACCGGATGCTTGGTAGATACTTCGAGTGTGTCGACGCAGGGCACACCGAGCACTTTCGATCTTACCCGTTCCCTAATTGGGCAATCGCCAAATGAGCAATCGCGCTTAGATAAGGCCCCCCGCGAATGCGGGGGCTTTAATTTACCGTTCGTGAAAATTCTCCTGGCTCGTTGAAATTCTGCCGGCGCAGGTGCGTTTCGACGACTCATCGTGTACCTTGCGAAATTCGCACTTTTCTGCCGCGTTACGCCATGCTCACGTACGTATACACGATTGTTCTATCTTTCTCTCTTTTTTTTTGCTATTTGGCATTTGATAATAGCGTTTATTTATGTCATACGGGTTATATAAATGCATCACGCCTATTTGCGCAGCCTCGGAGCTCCCCGGCGCTTTTTTTCACCTAGATTTTTTCCCGCGTGCTATAGTCCATGTCGCAACGCTTCCTCGAACTTTGCACGTCGCGATTTATTTTCTGTGTCATGTTGCATGCTTCTCCATTGACTTGTCTGTCAGAAGGTAAATAGCAGGAAGGGTCACCGAGTTGGGAACTATGCAAATAGCACACAATTTTTTCTCAGCCGCTTCTACACAAACGTGTACACGACGAATATATGCACAAGGAAAAGGACCTTCTTGTTTAGAGGATATTTTCATTTTTGACATGTTAATCTTTAGATGAGATTACGTAGCAAAATTTATATAGTTAAATAAAGATAAATTACTTACAAGAATATATTTTATATAGCTTTTTCAACGGAGAAAAATTTTTGTGTTCTTATTATTCGAAAATAATTGTGTTCTTATTATTCAAAAATAATTTTCATTAATGGAAAGTATAAAATGTTGGATTATTTCGGATTATATTAGATAATGTTGGTAATATTGAAGAATATGATGATTTTAAATCTCGAAAGAAGATTAAACAGAATATCATTATTAAGTATATATAAAAAATATCAATATCATGAAATATTAAGAATATTATTATCATTAAAATAATCATAATATTTCTTATAAAATTATTATAATATTCAAATAAAATTATAACATCCAAGTTCCAAAATTTTAAATTCTCCTAACAAAATTATATATCGTTGCTTACAACGAAATAATGGTTTCTAGTTTAGTTATTTAAATGAAACAATAATTGCTAATTTGAGTATATTAGTTTTAAGTGGATAGAGGAACTAGGAACATATAACGCGTATTTAAAAATATCATATATTCAATCTAATATTAATGAATTATCATTAATGGAAATTATTTTGAATAATAAATAATGGAAATTATTTTGAATAATAAAAAGACATTTTTCTTCGTTAAATTATACAAAATATATTGTTATAAGTAACTTATTTTTGTTTTTTCTCATTATTATAAATCTCACTTGGACATTATCATGTCAAAATTAACGATATTAGATATTTCCAAACAAGAATGTTTTTTTGTGTGAAGATCTCAAAACAGAGTCGAATACGCGTTGCCTTTGACCGCAGTGCAATTAATTTTGCAATAGAGCGAGGATGCAAACATTATCGAGCATATTGGAGTCACGTAAAAATATTAACTTCATTTTGAGTAACATTTTTTAATTTTCACTTTAAGAAGATACTGCACATAGAAAAATATATACTGTATTTAAATAAACGTTATTTACTTTATATACCTCATAAATAAATTATATATCCCAAAATTTATATCACAAGTTTATTATCAGGATTTAATTTACTCAAAATTAATAAGTTTAACATTTCGATCTAGAATATTAAATTATTAAATTACATATTAAATTAATAATATTTTATACTAATTATATATTAAATTATATATTAAATTAATAATATTAATTTTATTGTTAAATATTTATTATTATTGTTATATTTATATTATATACTTAATTTAATATAAAAGATTAAATTAAAATAAAACTTCGATTTACTTACTACATAGAGCCAAATTAATTTTTTTGGTTTGACGTGGAAGATTAGTTCGCCGCGTACGATAGGCCGGTTACATGCATTTGACATAAAAATATCACACACATCACGAGCATTATAATATTCTCCTTCAGTTTGAATTTAACTTCCGCAAAGGGCTCTTATTTCTCTCGCTTCAGTTGCACACTAGCACAGCCTGTTCACATAAGTTGGAAAGGTTTCAAATTATCTCACATATCCGATCAATTGATTGCAAATGTTACTTTATGGATATATCTTTTTGCTTCAACATATTACGCAAAAATTTTGAATGCGCCTTTCTTTGCTTCCAACGTCATCAATCAAGAGGATCATGACGAGGGACCAGGAATCTTAACGGGATTATATCTTTTTATTGCTCAACGGATGTGTGAGAAGCAGCGTAGTGGTCGCGGAATCTTGAATCTGCCCTCGAGGAGACTCCGTTATCCTCGTTGCATAAATGATAAAGTTGCATGATAGAGTTCCTGATGTCGTCAGATAAAGTACCTCGACCGCCTGATCTTCTATAATAATTACAACTAGGTCATCTGTGCGACAAACCATCGCGTTAGCCAACATGCGCTATTCTTGCATGTTCTTGCAGAACATGTTTTTTATGTTCTATAAAATTCTTATATATGTGTGGCACCAAATAAAATGGAAAACGAAGTATTTATATTTTTGTGAGATATCAGGAGCATGTGTTTCGCAACAGTTATTTGCTTATACAAACGAGTAGATAGATATTTCGTGGCGAATCGATATGCCGGGAAGTCTCCTAAAGTAAAAGTTATTTACTGTTTCAATTAGTACAGGATTCAAGTCTTATGACGTATAAACTAGTTTGATCGTCGCTCTTTCTATTTCGTTGCTCTTTATCTCTCTCTCTCTCTCTCTCTCTCTCTCTCTCTCTCTCTCTCTGTTTGTCTGTCTGTCTGTCTGTCTCTCTCTTTCTTTCCTTTCTCTAGTCCTCATTTTACAGTATTCCAAGTTATTATTTCACGTTATATAACGTTATTTAATTAAAATTTGATTAAATTATTTTCCTACAAAATTATCTCTCACCTGCATTTAATTTACATATATACATATAAACACATGTATAAATATTTATTTCCTACATAAAATGCGTATCTCTTTAGTTATTAGAAACGCGTTTGAAAGCGTCTGGCGATAAAAGAGAAAACGAACGTGCAAATCGTTCAAGGATGGATGAGGAACGAGACGAGAATATGGCGCTATAAATAACAATCTATAAATGACAGTGATAACAAGGGTATCACCGTGGAGGAACGCGGCGATGTAAACACATTTCACTTAAATTAGACCTAAGAAACCATCTATACGGTCAAGGACTACGGAATAGACTCCACGAGCTAAATTAGTTTGCTTTTGTTTGGTGTGGAACCAGGATGTCTCCTTCGCGCGATGAGGAGACGATTATTGAGCAACTTCTCTATGGGCTGCTGAGCGGCAGCCACTATTCAATGCGGATTGTCCGATGGCAGGCCTTTTATGGCGAAAGTACCGCGGAAGAACGGCTTGAAGACCTCTAGGACCGTCTGCGTTCGACGGGCTGAGTTCTGAAAAATGTGAGTGGATTAGTCGTTAGGCGTCAAGAGGTCGACGCGAAGTACACGTAATTTGGGGCGATTAGCAGTTCCGCTTACATCAGGAGCGAACGAATTAACGTTCTTTCCTTTCGTACATCTATCTGGCACACACGCTGAGTGAAAGGTGACACGTTCGAACGCGCTAATCGATTAGACTCGATTGAACAGTAAAAAGGCGAGCAATCGAACAAAATCGAACAGTAGAATATACGTGTCAACGGCAACATCAACAATCGCGTGACTTATTGATACGACGCGATGTTCCGATTGAGATTCGTACTCACCATGATCACGCTGTTGAGAACTTTGCTAACGTTTGTCAGCAGAGTGAAGCTGGTGCCGAAAGCCGCCGACGGTATCTCCAAGGACACCTTCGACCTGTCGAACACGGGCGTGTCCTCTGTGGTAGTGACAGTACGGGCCTTATTCTGCGCATAAATTCACACGACATGTCAAGCTTATTCAACGTTTTCATCCAGCGTCGTTTGATTACGCATTTTATCACTCATTGAAGTCATTGCGAATCGGTGTAGTGTGGGAAAATTGCGCAGCACTTTGAAGCCTGTACATGCAAACGCCTAGGGACATATGCATATATCGCACTTCCGTTCTTTGTCATTCTTTCTGATTTGTCGGTGCCGTTGAATAGAGGGGGAACAACAACCAGTGGTGTGCACCATTGAGAAAATTCTGCGATTTTATTTGCCATTTAGGATCTAACTTTAGGTATTTTAGATGTAAGGAAAATAAAGTATGTAAGATTAAAAGTTATATACAAATATGTATAAAATAAAATATTTAAAATTGAATGTATAAAGGTAATCTATATGTGTATGTATTTGAGTATATGTATATGTGAGTATACATGTCCCCACCAAAATTCTTGTGTAAGTGCAGTACTTCAAGGAGCCAGCAATTTGTATTCTTAATTTTCCTCAGGCTGATTTAATCATCGATTGTTTTTTACAAGCTAGACCGAGACAGACTATCGATTACACGCATAGACAGGTGCTAAACGGTAATAAGGACAAGGAGAGGGACATATCGGGCTTCGTGATGCTTCACAATGAGCTCGTCACAGACAGATAGACAAAAGTATGGTCGTAAATTTATTTGACAGCAGCAACGTCACCATTCGCCATCATCTTCAACGTCAATCGTTATTTTTACGTATCGCAAAACATTTGGATGCGCTATTTACATAATTTATACACAACGATAGTCGGCGCACTTGTATCGCCCGGGCACACATATCTATAGGCCCCTACTATAATTATTTACAACTTTTACGTTGACAAAAATCGATTTACCCCGGCTCTTCTCTCAATGTTAGACACAACGCAGTCCACGATTTAACTAGAAGAGTCAGCTCGTTAGGAGTGTTCTTCCTGTATGAATTTTCTTCCTCTGCTCCTTTTCGGGCTCTCTAAACATATTCTGTCTCTCTCTCTCTCTCTCTCTCTTTCTGAAAGAAAAGGAGAGAGAGAAAGAGGAAGATCTTGCTTATCGGCCAAACTGCAAACAAAAATTCACATTCCATATTATATGGAATAATCGTGAATTCCTTCTTTCTCATTCTGAAAGTCCGTTTACTGTCCGTTCGATTCTCCGATGGATGCGTGTCGTTTCGTCGTTCGTTTGTTACTTATGTCGCTTTGCCTCAAGATAAGGAAGGAACTTCTTTTCTCAAGCGTTGCTGCTCACCGATTCCAGGGCGCAAAACTCCCAGTGTCTCCTATTTTCCGCATCCCATCGTCCCGATTCATTCCGTCAGTTGTTTACTTTTTCCCCTTTTAAGCCGTTTAATAATCTGGTTGCGGTGGCGTGTATTCGTACTGTTTGTATGTACAATACTCATTTTAGTGGCAGATATAAACTACAATTTGTGCGAGTAGCGGAAGGTCTCGTCTCGCGAAGACGTTTTCCGAGGAAAATTAAGAGAGAGGTTCACAGCGACGTTGATTAGTGACTTAGCTGATAGCGGTTTAGCGAGGCGTGTCAAGGTGACCAGTGAACTATAAGTTCTTGCAATCGATTATTACGCTTTTTGTGGATACAACAGTGGCAGTTCATGGCGTAGAGAAAGCCGCTGAAGTAGAGATATGTCGATGAGAGATACAAGAGAACAAGTCCCAACGGCCATTACAGAAGGGTCGTTTTATAGAGATCGATAGCTTTGTTAAATGTGTTGTTACCACATAATATCAGAAGCTCCGACAGATGAATAGTATTAAGGAGGAAAGAGTAATCATATTATCGTGCAAATTAATTATTAATAAGTAAATTTTTTGTTTACAAACGCGTCCACTAGCGACAGTTTTCCTGCAAGCAACGTCACGAGTCCTTGCCGTCGTCCAAGTTTGTTAAGTGACTTCATCGTTTTTTTAAGAATTGTTAAAGAACGTCAGATACGTGTCTTATAGTGAGGTACAATTAAATAAAGATACACATACACACAAACGCATTTTCTTCCTCACGAAAACGCACGAGTTCCAGAGTTCCACAGCAGAGAAAGATAAACAGTCATAGCATTACGTGTCAGACATAGGACGGGCGACATGTGCGGGACTTCAAAGTGCGTAAAAATCAACGTTCACACAGATATAGAAAGGTGAAAAGAACTTAATGCGATCCTACCCCTCCTAAATTGGCGAAACCTCCGATATTAATTCCACCACCGAGGTTGGCGCCGGTGTCGCTTCCGCTGGAAGTGCCGCTCCCAGCACTGCCGCCGGTACCGCCGCTCGTACCGCCGCTGCTTTGACTCAGGGTCGACAGGGTGTTGAGACCCGCGGTCAAGAGATTGCCTATAATGGCAGATCCGGCGGGCGCTCCGCCGTCACCTGCGTGGCCTCCTGTATTCCGAGAGCAAAAACATTGAGTCTAATTTACCTGTGCCTTTGATAAGGAGGAATTTAACATATGTAAAAAAAGAAGAAAATAAGAAAAATATATGTTTGTGGAACAAGAGAAGAAAAAAGTACGTTTATAAAAAAAAAGAAGAAAAAGCAAAGAAATAAAAGAAAATAAGAAAAGGAGAAAAGAAGAAAGAAAGAAAAAAGGAGGACAAAAGAAAGAATGGAAAAAGGAGGAAAGGAAGAGAAGAAAAAGGAAAAAAAGGAAGAAAAAAGAATTGAAGAAGAGAAAAAAGAAGAAAGGGAGAGAGGAATAAAGTGAGAAAAAGAAAAAATAAAGAAATAAAGAAGAGATAAAAAGAAAGAAAATGAAGAAAAAAGAAAACTGAAGAAAAAATGCGTATAACGTGCACAAGTTTTTCTAAAAATGATTTTTTTCCACGTAGAGAAAAGTATATCGGAACTTATTTGTCTTTTGAGGTTTTACGCTTTGTGGAGAATATTCATTTGAAAGTTCAAGGAAGAGACGATTTTAAGTAAGCTGCTTGTTACAAATCCGTACCAGTGCCAGCACCCCCGGAGAGACCACCGGAGAGCGAACTCAAAGGTGCGACCTTTGAGACTAACGAGTTTGCCAGACCGGCCGCCGCTCCTGAAACCAGTGTGGTCGCACTGTTGATGACCGGGCCAATACTACCTGTCGCAGCACGAATTTTCTGCGACACTAAATTGCTGATGAATTGCGAAGTGGCAGAATGCTTGGGGTCGATCCCGAAAGCAGCGTTTTTCGCACGGTTGGAATCGTCAAGTACCGCGAGCGCCTTTGTTTTCGCGTCCAATAAGGAATCCAGTTTCTGGAGGAAACGTGTTTCTGTTAAAGTAACTGGAAATACTATAAGTCGATTAACTACGTGTCTACGTTATGTCTAATGCGTGTATATATTAGACAGGGATATCTTCGAGTTGAAAGGAAGCTTCCATTGGCGTGATGAAATCTTCCTTTTAATTACGTGAGATCTATTATGCGTACAGGGACAATACAGACTGATTATTTTTTAATCAAGCTTACACCAAACACGAAGTTGATGACGCCATTTGTCACGCCAAGCGTGAGGCCGATCTTCCTCTTTTCTCTGTCGGGATTCTCGCCTTTGTCCGTGTCATCATCGACCTCGAAAACGTAGACCTGTATAAATCAGAAAGCTTTCCTTAAATTTGCAAAGTAACGTGATATATTTTATTTAAAGATAAGAAGCAAAAGATTTAATTTATATTTGAGGGAAAAGGAAATCGAGAGGGAGAAAATCAGAGGCATTTTATTTGAGGAAATAGCTTCACTCACTAGATTGGTATCAATTCTTTGCTATTTCTATTTGTTAATCTGATGTAGTTGGATTGATTATTTAACACCTTACATTATATTAGTATTTACTTGACATTCACGCAGGACATATGCGTGCATTTAAATTGGCACTTAAAGGGGACAAATGGATACGTTTCATGTTTCCTGAGATGTGCTGGACGATTTTATGTATTCGTAAGTAGAAGAATGTCTGGAAGACCTAACGCAAGCGGTTCAATGTTATGTTACTTCAAAAAATTAACTTTGCTCAAAAAAATTAGATTTAGTAAGAAAAAATAGACATTCAAACAGTACTTATCAAAAAGACAGAGAGGAGATAATTAAAGATAATTCAAGTAATTAAATTTAAAATTTGCTTCAATTAAAGGGTAATTATCCAAAAAATAAACAGTTTAAAAGTTAACAGTTTAACTATGTGTTTGAATATGTTACGTACTATGAAATAAACACTTATGCATTATAAACAATTATGTATTATAAAATAAATAGTTTAAAATTCTGCTCTTCGATTTAAGACACTTAAATCGACAAGAAACAGTCGATTTAACAATATTTAACAGTATTTAACAGTAATTTTAACACTATTGATAAAAAATTACAAAGTATAATCGGTTTTTCCTCTTCAATTAAAAGGCTCTATTGTGTCACTGGTATAGCTATCCGCTGTTAGTGAAAGAGGAAAGAGCTAAAAGAGAAAGACGCTACTAATAAAACACTGAGATATCCAGTGCTGGGATTCTGTAACTCATTATTGGAGTTAACGATAACGAAACTGTTGTTAACTTTAATAACGAGTTACAGAATTCTAACACAGGTGAGAAGCTGAGGAAAGGCTTGACGGGCCGGGACACAGAAATGAAATATTGTCAGCCTCTTCGCGGGTTTCTGCGCGCGAACTTTTCTGCAACGTTCGACGGAAAATCACGTCTGAAAACTGTTTCGCGTATAATTACGCCCCGCATGGCATTTACATAATTGCCAGAATTGCCACAATTTCGTACATAATTATTTCGGCACAATTTCGCACAAATTATAAGCATTACGAAACGTCGTACACTTTCGTTGAGAGACCTAACGTGGCCGGGTCGCGTGTATATGACCGCTAGCGATTCTATTAGGATCGTATCGCGATTACATTAACGCGCGATCGCGTGTTGGAGTGACAACGATACTTCGCTACTCATTACCGGCCGACACGCGTACACCACGTGGATCGCGCAGAAATTTCGTTACACGCGTGCACATCCGTCTCTATACGTGTTTGAGTTCGTAAAGGTAGCGCCGACCACTTTCACTCTTGACTCGTTCGAGAGCGTGTTTCTCTCTCTTTTTTCGTACACTCTTCCTCTTCGTTTTCCCTCTCTCCTCCTCCCGGCCCCAACGTATCCTTCTCTCTTCCTCACTTTACGTCGTGTCGTCTGCAGTACATTTAGCTAACACAACGTCGTTCAGAGTAAGATATATCTTCCTTATGGCATAACCCGTCTTCACGAGCGACGGACGAACTCTTCCTCTCGCGAATCGTCGTTCGCGTTTTTTAAAGGAGGAAAAATGAAAAAAAAGATATATATAAACCATAAAATTAAAAGATATTATCATATAATTAAAAGATAAAAAAAAAGATATGTATATATAAATCATAAAACGTCTTCTTAATGAGCTGAAAATAGGAAGGCACGATGTAAGAGGAAAAGTGTGCGTGAGACTTTCCCCTCTGTTAATTTGCAAGATATTAGATATTTGTACGAACTGCGCGGGATTCTGCGCGAAGACCGGGATTGACCGTGGTCACGATTAGCTTCACCGAAACCTCCAACGCGGAACTACTGGCATTCTTTGCGCTCAAAAAAAAAACATGGTGATGACAACTACCCAGATAGGCTTTCATAATTATCACGGTGTGAGACAATCAACGAGGATGGAAATTCTACAATTTTTTCAATTAGATTTGTGAGGCAAATATACTGCATTGACTTAATCTCATTAAATTTTCATCATACAATAATATAAATTATCTGTTATATTGTGCGGCAACAAATTTATCAAAAGTTACACTCAGATTTTCACATCATATTTTGTACAATATATTATTTTGAGTAAATTTTTATCATTCTTTTTGCTTTGTGCTTCTTTCGTATTTCTATCTCGTTTCTCTATGTTGAGAGAAATTATTCGAAAAAGATTAACAAACTAATATTTCCGATCAAAATATCGATGAATTTTTGTATTCAGTCAGGAAACGTCCGATGAGAAATATGGGTTTATAATTGTTTGATCGGTTTATCTAATGAAATGAGATTATAATCGGAAGTATCCGATTAAGTTTAATATTTAAATTTTATATCCTGATTGGATATAAAATTTGATCAGAATTTGATCGGAAATATTCGTTTGTTAATTTTTTATTGGATAATTTTTTTCAATGTATGCGATGAGAGAGAATATAAGTGCTATATGAGCCACTCATAAGGGATGCAACCCTTACGAATCGATTCTTGCTACAAAATTTACGTACATCTGTCTATCTGGGTATATATAAGTGACATCTATGCGAATTGTAGGTAGAATTAATGCATTCAGAGAGATCATTTGCCAAAAAATTAACAAGCTGATATTTCTAATCGAAATCCAATCAAATATCGATCAGATTTTACGTTCAATCAGTGAACATTCAATGAGAAATATCGAATCTTAATTTATTGATCAGTTTATTCGACAAAGTTCCATTACGAATAGAAATACTCGATAAACTTTAATCGGATATCCTGATTAAAATTATAAAAATTTGGTCGGAATTTGACCGGAAATATTTGTTTGGTAATTTTTTACCAGATCATTTCTCTTAGTGTGCATTTATTTTATAGTTCAGAATTTTGGAGTTATTGTAACTGAAGCTTTAGTTACATTAACTACAAAATAAATTTCATTAAACTATATTGATTGCAATTACAATTTTTACAAGATTTAGCTGTCGTCTATGAAATTGTTACCATCATGTTTTCTCTGAGTGTGCGATATTTTCCTCGAGTCGTTGAGCTTTAATCTTTTTAGATCACCGCCAGTATCGGCTGAGTTGTTCTAGGTCGAGTGAAGGTATCGACGCATTTATTTAGTGTGTCGCACTCAGCAGAGAAAGGAAGGACGAATGCATAACGTATGATTATGCGTATTTGCTCGTCAATTCAACTGGAAAATTCGGCTGTTGGTTTCCGTGCCGCTTTGGAAAAATACATACAAAAATATAAACATATACTACATTGTGTCCTCAGATAGATTTAAACAGACTCTTATGGTTACCACGACGTGGGACAATTGATGATGGAAATTCTACATTTTATTTTTTTATTAAGATAAAAGTATCAACATCTTACACACGTACTTAGGTATTCGTATTATATTTTGGTTTTTAAATACGAACATTTAAATTTCCAACATGGAATATATATATATATATATATATATATATATATATATATATA